CCCCCCCCCCCCCCCCCCCCCCCCCCCCCCCCCCCCCGTGTCTACCCCGGGCCTGACGGGAATAGGCCGTCTCTAGTGATCTTGAATGAATAAAGAAATGAATGCATGGTGTCACTCAAAGGAATCCATACTCTTTCACCCTTGTGTCTGGGCGTGGAATACCAGTCTCAGGATTTATACCTCGAGGGGTTCCAGGGTCAAGGAAGATTGGGAAATGCTCCATAGCACTTGTCTTCCACGCCCACCCCCATGCGCAAAGCACGTTTAAGGCTGCAGGTTCTACTGAATGTCAATACAATGAAGATATCTGTTTAACACCATCTCCCTCGTACTCCCTTGACCACACAACTATTTTTATTTCCTCCCCACCCGCCCCTCCGACCCTCCCAGCTCTCCAGGGAAACACAGGCCTGCAGTAGCCTCCTCCTATTTGTAATTCACAGTCGTGCAGGCTAGCACGGCTAGAAACAGCCTTCACACGCAGGACATCGGCACCCCTCCACCCTCTCCCCTCAGCTCAGAATGAAGCATATTGCCTCGGCATTCAAGGCCCTCAGATCTGTTCAAAGCCACTTTGCCTCCCAGCCTTCCTCTTCTGCCCTCCCCTTCCCCCATGCACCCTCCGGCAGCCATGTCTGATGACTCTCCAGGTGTCCTCCTCACCTTCCTTCACCTCACACTGCCCTTGCCCAGCTCCCTGTGGAGCTCCTATGCATCCTCCAGGGCCCGGCTCAGTGACCACCTTCCTTCATTCTCATGCATGAGACGTTGGGGGTTTTGAATCCTGGTTTGGATCCTGGCTCTGACACTTACTAATATGGGAAAATTACAAAGCCTCTCTGAGCCTTAGTTTGCTCATCTGGAAAATGGGGGTAACAATCACTACCTCACAGGGGGTTGTGGGGATGGATGAGACCACAGATATGAAGCAGTGGTGCTGATCACTTAGTGGTGACAGTGCCGTTCCCACCACTCTCCTCCAAGTGCCCTCACACACACCTGTGCACACACTCACACCCATGCACACACACACAGCATGAATTTCTCCCTTCTCTGTTCTCTGCTGGTGCTAGGGAAACGTCTGCATCCTCTGGGGTTAGTCACATGCAGCCTGTCTTAGGGGCAAGTCTTTTAAGGGCAGAAGTCGGGTCATGTCCATTCATTCATTCATTCATTCACTCATTCAACAAATATTCAGTAAGTGCTTCCTGTGTACAGGTCACAGGGCTGGGTGCTGAGGATAAAATGGAAAAGAAGACAAGCATGGTCTTAAATCCTTATGAGGGAGAGAGACAAAAGCATGCAAATGTTCATGTCAATGAAATCACCGCAGGTTTTGAACATGCAATGAAAGAAATAAGCAAGGAGCTGAGATACAGAAGATGGGGAAATACTCCGATAAGATGGTCTGGGAAGCCTCTGAGGAGGTGATTTACTTTGAGACCTAAAGGATGAAAAGGAGTCAGTCCCATTAAAAGCGATGGGACAGGCATCCCAGGCAGTGGGAACAGCAAGTACTAAGGTACGGAGGTAGCGAGCCAGGGCCGGAGAGACAGGCCCAGAGGCCCAGAGGATGCGTGGCCTTGGGGCCAGGAGTTGGGGTTTTATTCCACAAACAATGAAAGCCTCTGAAGAGCAAGGAAGTAGCCCAATTCAACTTAGAATTTAAGAAAATTACTTTTGCTGATTGCGGAAAGCGCATTTGAGGGAGGTAAGAACTGAAGCTGGGAGAGCAGGGGTGAGGCCATCACAGGCCACGGCATGTGAGGAAGGGATGGTGGCCTGGGCTTAGTGACAACAGTGCCGGAGAGAGGGAGGTGGGTTCTAGAAACTTCTGAGGCAGGACTTGCTGAGGTCTGATAAGGGACAGTGACCTACTTCCTGGCTTCTAGTCTGAGCAATCCCGTCGTTGGTATAGAGTCAGGGAAGACTACACTAGGACAGGTTGAAAGCAAACATCAAAAACATCATTTGGGGCATGTAAGTTTGTGATGTCTTTGATGAAAGAGGTCAAAACGAATATGAAGTTCAGAGACCTGAGCCAGAAATAAAAACCCGGCAGTCATTGGCAGATACCACAAGTGGTCACGCAGCAGCAGCGTTCAGCTGCAGATGACCCCATGGTGCTGTCACCCCACCGGCAGTTCTGGGCTGGGGATGAGGGTCTTAGCTGGGAAGCCCACCTCCTCTCTGGGGCTGGCCTGGTCCGCAGGGCCCAGATGGAGCTGGAGGTCCAGGAGCTGGACCACTGCATGCTGTGCTGAGATGGACACTCACCTCTCTGATCTCCTCCACAGACGTGGGCTGGTAGTACATCTCCGGATAACAGCCATAGGTCCTCGCCCAGTTTTGGAATTTGACTCCTTTGTACCCATGGACCTGTGATAGGACAAAACCCGGGTCACCACCAGTAAGTGGTCTAGGGCTGCCCTGACCCCCATCCCACTGTCCCAACATTGTAGAGATGGGAGGCTGGGGCCACGGTGCTGAGCCACTGGGAAGCTCAAACACACAGTGGAAGCTCTAAAGCCGTGCAGCCACGTGCGGGCTTCCTGCTATGATCTCCCTTGACCCCCATGGTCAGGGCAGCAGATCACGCAGAAAACTCGGCCCCTCCTTCGGAGAAGGGGGCTACGTGAGATCAGGGGTGCAGCCCTGGGAGACAGCACAGCAGCCTCTCCTGGCCTGGAGGCCACAGCAGAGAGCCTTGGGGAAAAGACTCCCGTTTGTGGGATCCCCGCTGTGTGCTGGGCACTGTTCCGGGGTCCTCCACATGTCATATCTCTCCGCATGTCACACCTTATTTAGGCCTTACCATAAAGCCACGAAATAGGTAATATTACTCTCATTTTCAGGAGCAGAAACTGAGGCCCAGAGAGGTAGAGTAACCTCCCCGAGCTCACAGAGCAACCAAGGAAAGACACAGGAGTCCAACCCCGGCCTTCCTCTTCCATCCCTTCCCCAGCACCCCAGTGGCTCCCCAGAGCCGCGAGTCCAATTCAAGAGCCTCCCCGTGGCCTCCCAGTAGCCCCACACCTGCCCTCATTTTGCCCTCCCAAGCCGGGTTCACAGGCCCAGCCTGGATGCGGACCGGCAGGGCTGAACAGCTGGCCACGTGGACCTACCATGGCTCCAGCGGTGGGTCAGTGGCCTTGGTGGACTCCGGCCTCCTCGTGGAGCAGAGCACAGGGCAGCGGGGTGCGGAGGCCAGGCGGAGCGGGGGGCTGGAACCAGCAGCGCGGTGACGGTGACCGCAGGAGCTCAGGGCCGACTCTGCAGCTGCAGCACACAGAGGGGCTTGGGGCTCCAACAGAGGTGGATAAACAGTGTGACGACAGGCTCCACCCAGACAAACAGCAGTTTGGCCTGCCCCCTGCCCCGGGGCTCCTCTCAGGCCGCAGAGTGGGCAGGCAGCATTTACAAGGCGGCTGCTCTCTTCCCGAAAGCTGTTGAGCTCTGATACCAAGTATAGGCACGGCGGACGGGGTATGGGGGGGGGGGGGCGGACAAGTGACACTCGGACCAGGCAGAGTCTTCTAGCTGAGGTCTTCCTTCCCCAGGCCTTAAGGCAGGCAGACCTGGGTTCCTCTTCCATGCCTTGCCGGTTAACCTCTGTGAAGCTCGGTTTTCCCTCCAGTAAAGTGGTGGCACTTTTGCCTAATCCTCTGGGTGGACATAAAGGTTAGAGCAGACGTCTGAGGAGCCCCGGGACACCATCAGAGCTGGAAAAGGTTTCAAGCTCTTGCATCTGCCCCCAGCGTTGAGCTTTCGGTGGCAGGCTCCTTGGGACGTCCCTGTCCACGTCACCACCCCTTGGCTCAGTGCCTGGCACCGCACCAGCCTCTGAGGCACGTTTGTGCAATGAACAGATTAATCAGTCACTGAGCATCTTGGCATTCGATCTCTCCAAGCCAAGAGCTGGGGTCTAGCGGGAAGCGTGAGCAACAGCTCCAGGGTTTTGGAGGCGAGGCCGGGCTGGAGGATCGGAGCTTGGGGTCAGATATACACAGAAGTTGTTCTGGAATAGGGGTTGGGGAACACCTGTGTCCCCCAAACCAGGATCTTCTCCAGCTGCCAGGTGCATATGTGTGTGCGTGTGCATGTGTGTGTGTGCGTGATCACACTCCCCAACTGCAAGGTTGTGTGCTGAGGGGGAGTGGTAGCCATGTGCTCCCCACAGGGAGATCCCAACTAGTGGAGATGCTGTTGTTTATGATCGCTTAGCAGCAGCTCAACAGCAGAGAGGAAAGTCCCAGGTATGGGTGAGGAATCTGCAGAGCTCAGGGCCACAGAAAGGAGCCGATCTGGCACAAGAGCTGGGACCTGTGTCATTGGCTGAATCGTGTTCCCCCCACCAAGTTCCTAGGTTGAAGCCTTAACCCCCAGGACCTCAGAATGTGACTGTATTTGGAGATAGGATTTTTAGAGGTAAAGTTAAAATGAGGTCATTGGAATGGGCCCTGATCCAATATGACTGTGTCTAAATGAGAGGAGATTAGGACACAGACACAAACAGAAGGCCAAGTGAGGACACAGGGAGAAGACGGCTGTCTACACGCCAAGGAGAGAGGCCTCAGGAGAAACCAACCCTGCCGACTGCTTGGCCTTAGACTTCCAGCCTCCAGAGCTGTGAGACCACGAGTGTCCGTTGTTGAAGCCACTCAGTCTGTGGTTCTTTGCTGTGGCTGCCTGCAAGCCCCTGTGCTAGGGTCTCCACCAAGGACTTTATGCGGGAGAAGAACAAGTCCTCTCGCCTCTGCGCTGTTTCCCTCGGGCTGTCCCTGGTGGAAGTCAGGGCCAGGGCGCTCCAAGGCTGCCAGCTCCATCACCCGAGGGCACCTCCCCATAGACTCCCTGCCTGGGAGAGGCAGGCCTTGGTAGGGGTGCAGTGGGGAGGCCCAAGGGCTGAGGGATGGAGAAAGCACCTATCAGGTTGGCTACTGTCCCTCCTCCGAGTTGGAAGGGGGTCCAGGGTCTGTGGCCATCAGATGGGGTGGGGTAAGCATCATGCCAGAAGGGCAAAGAGGCCCATGGCAAGGAGGGGAGGGGACAGCCCGATGCCACCCCAAATAAATAGCTTGCTTCCCGCTCACCCTCAAGCCCTGTCCCACAGCTTCAGGCGAAATGTACCCTGTGCCCACCCACAGATGTTCCTCTGCAACTACAGTGGAAGCCAGTTTTTCTCCTTTGGGTGAATGCATTCTGAGGCAGGACATTCCAGAAGCTGGATGCCATGGGTGTCGGTGGGCCTGGACTGTGCCCCCAGACTGCCTGCAGGCTCCCTTCCCTCCTCTGCTGAGATTTCCTGAAGACTGGAGTCACCCACCAGGCTTGCTTTCTTCACCCTGTGCTACCGCCCTTGTGTGGAACGCTTCCTCCCTCACCCCCAAGCCAGTCGCATCACTTTTATGAATCGCCTTTATGGAAAACTAAAATAAAATGACATGAAAAGAAATATAAAGATCAGCAAAAATGGTGTCTATCAGTTAATTCAATCTGCCTCGCCACCACCTCGTGGTTGAGGTCGATGGTATATTGCTCATTTCTTCTTGTCTGAAGGACTCAGCTTGTTCTATACTTGCTGAGTCTCAACTTTTTCAAACATTTGTTGGCAAGGGAAATTAATGTTACCATCTCGATGGCCGCTGAAGCTTTTTTTAAAAAAATCATTTCCCCTCCTGTGTTTATTAATCAATGAAAACGAGTCCTTAATATACAATTTGTGCATGGTAACTTAACACATTTCTTTGAAACACTGTGAACATTTGGAAGAGTGTTTAATGATTTCTGATAGGTAGATATACTTCCTAGTCCCACTCAGCCAGCTCGTTCTCTTTAAAAAGGCTGATGGGGCTTCCCTGGTGGCGCAGTGGTTGAGAATCTGCCTGCCAATGCAGGGGACACGGGTTCGAGCCCTGGTCCGGGAAGATCCCACATGCCGCAGAG